GGGGCGGCCGCGGGCCCCCCCCCCCGCCCCGCCCCGCGCAGGCGCAGCCCGGAGGAGCCCGCCCGGAGGAGCCCGCCCGGAGGAGCCCGCCCGGAGGAGCCCGCCCGTCCCTCTGCCGATCGGGGCGGTCCCGGGGATCTCCCTCCTCCCTCCCAGCTCTCGTACTTGCAGACTCCGCGGCGCATCCCGTACGAGGGGCTGCTGTGCAGGAATTCGGGCCGGCTCCAGTGGGAGAGTCTTTCGGGCCTCCGTGAGTAGCAGGTTTCGGCGGTGCTGTGCCCCTGGAAGGGTTGGAGCTCGCGTCTCAGAGTTATTTGTGTGGATGTTCAAGCTCTCCCTGGTGAAGACGTGAGATGATGATCTTGTTCCGTGATGGGTGCTTGGAGGTGCCTGCACAGAAACCCTAAGGGAGTTCATGAGGGAACAAAGTTTCTTTCTCGTTTCTGCTGAGAGCTATTTTGTGACCACAGTCGCGTCTCTGATGCTTCTGGGGAGGGTGCGTTTGCTCGTCAAGTTTGGGAGAAGATTCTTACCCACCCTGAGCGCTCCCTGGGTGAGGAGAAGGCAGAAGCCCCTTCATCGCTATCCCTCAGCCTAAGCAATCCTGCACCCTCCTCTCCATGTCCTGATTTGCCTCCAAATCGCCCCAAAATATCATTATCATCAGGAGGGAAGGAAGAATCTGTACACGATGCTCAGCCCTGATGTTTTAATGGAAATGCTGCGCTACAGTCAAGTTTACAACATCGGTATAGAAATCACATGGGTTGTGGGCCGAGGATCACGGTACAGAATACAAAAAGCAAGATCAAATAAAAAGAAAATTAGAGAAAAAGCAAATCTCTGCCGTTGTACGGGCTGGGAGCAGAGCTGGGATGTCAGCTGGAGCACCAGAGGTCTCCCCACGGTGTGTCCCAGGGACCTGCACCAGCCTCCCTTGGCTCAATGACATGCAGGCACAGGCTCCTGGGATAGGAACCCCACCAAGCAGCAGCAGCTGGTACTTCCAAGCTGGCCAGAAGTCTAATTAAATCACCGAAGATTTTCCCTTCCACATCACCAGAATAAAAAAAGGGGGGGGAAATAATAGGGGAATGTGCACGACACCTTTGGAATGGAAGAGGACAAATGAGAGCCCCTTCTTGCCTGGCTACAGCAAAGGAGAAACAGATGAGTGATTTATTGCTAGCAAAGTGTGAAAATCCCCTGCTGGGCTCTTCCATCTCTCCCTCTCTCCATAGGAGGCTCCGTTCCAGACTCGTGGCCCCTCGGGGCTGACTTCCAGCCCCGCTCCAGCTCCCCCCTCCAGCCCTGCTCCCCGGCCTCTCTCCACAGAAGCGAAGGAGCTGTGGTGGCAGGAGAGAACCTGGGACTAGATGATATTTAAGGTCCCTTCCAACCCAGGCCGTTCTATGATTCTGTGAACCTGCTGTCTCAAAATACAGTAAGTCCCTGGGAGAGGCTGAAGCCGTGGCAAAGCCCTGCCTGTGGCTCCCCATCCAGGAACGATGGAAGCCAGTCCAGGTGTGTAGGACTGGCAGCATGGAGTTTTGCAAGGAAAGCCACCTCCTTTTGAGAAGACACAGTGGCTGGTGTGGTTACAGAGTCTGTGCTGACTTCTTTACTTTTAAAATCAAAATCTTTCCCTGTGTTTTAAATATCTGCCAGCATTACATTTCTCTACTTAAAAAAATATATATCCCATATGTGGATTTCTGGAGAGAAACGCACTGAGACCCTCCCCCAGTCCCTCCTCCTTCTCTTGCACACACGCACACACACACACAGACGCAGAACAGCTCTTGTCAAATTCTGGCTTGGTATTTCCCACGATGTTTTCTCCAACAAAGAAAGGGAAAATACATCAGCACAATCAGCCCCAGCTAAGTTGCTCAGCAACACTTCTGAAAAGCGAAGATCCTTGGAGCTGGAAGACAAGGTGGATAAAAATTACCCACCAGGAAAAAAAGCCAAAAATTTTAAAAAATTAAAATTATATACTCTGTATTTATATCTCTTTCAGGCTACTTACACCTCAGTTGTTAAACCCCCGAATGCACACGCTGCCTCTGCTGTTTCCTCGTGCCAGCCTTAGAAAAGGGGTTGGATCTCACCTCCCTTTTCCCTCCCCTTTCCCACTCCAAAACCTGCATGCTGCAACAGCGCCTTTCAGACCAGGAACACGGCTGTGGGTGAGCGAGCGTCTTCCTCCAGGTTAAGAACAAAGACATTATTTTTTTTATTTACAAAAAAAGGAGAAAAAAGTTTCCACACAAAAGCACTACAATGATAACTCCCTTTGGTAAAAAGTGTAATAAATGTCTCCATCGGTCTGTCTGTCGGTACTAATTCTCAAGCCACCTGGTACTATGGTACACAAGAAGCTAGTACAGTTATGCTAGCACATCAAGCATAATTCCTTTAATTAAAAAAAAAAAAACAAAACAAAAAGAAAAAAAAAAAGAAAAAAATGGACAATTTGTACATTTATTTACAAAAAAGGAGGGGAACATGTTAAAATCGTGTTGTTCTCTGCTGTGTGTGAACGTACATGTGTGTGAAAAGCTGGTGCATGGCACTAGGAGAGACTAGTAAACAAGCAGGTACAAAAAAACAAAAACAAAAACCCAAAATAAAAATAAAACAGTTCCACTGGCACTAGAAAGGACAGACCGATCTGCACAGGGTGAGTCCAGCCTGGGAGGGAGGGGAGGGAGCGAGAGGAAGCCGGGGTCTGCTGCCCCACGGCCCCGCACCGGAGCCCGCAAGGAGAGGAGAATCCAGTGGTGACAGGCACCTGGGGATTTTGGGGACACATCCAAGCGGTCCGGTGGTGGAGAGCATCCTGTTCCCCTCCCTCGCCGCTCAGGGCCTCTGGGGAGTCAAAGCCTCAACGCTGCTGGTGTGTACGAGCTCGTGGTGTTTCTCTGGGATGGCTCAGTTCAGAGAAGGGTCCTTCCTGCCCAAAAAGGGCCGGCAGCCCACGGCCCCGGGCGGAGATCCGCGTCCCCGCAGGGAATCCCGCCGGGACAGGTTGTACCAGCCACGCTCTAGTCAAGTGGCCACGTTACGGAGATACACAGTGAGGGGAGAAAGGCATCTCCCTCCTTCCCTGGATGCACGCACACACACACATCTCCCGGGCTCTTCCCTCGCCCCGGGGGACTCCTAGGGTGTCTTGAATATCGTGCCGTATTTGACGCGGTACTTGTTGATGCTGACAAAGTGCAGGGTCTCTGTGTCACAGGTGGTGGTGCAGGGCACCAAGCCCTCCAGCCCTTCACCCATCAGCCACTTGTTTGTCTCGGCTGCCATTTCGCGGGGCACGTGCTCCTTGGTCCATTTGTCCACCCAGGCCTGGAACCGCTGGTGCAGCCGCTTGCTCACCCTTTCATGGGACTGCAGAAACAGGGAGAGGTGTCAGGAAAAGGCAGCTCTGGCCCCCAAACTGCAGCACAACACAAAGCTTGGCTACTCGTTGACACAGGCAAGGGGATCAAACACAGAGGGAATTCGTAACGCGGACACTGGACTAATGACAGAGGGAAAAGCTCTGATGGAGGTCCCCCAGGTCTGCTCTCCAAGGAAATTTGTGGCAATATGAGCTCAGAAATACAAAAAAGTTGATGCTCTTTGTTTAATACAGCAGTTCACGGGCTGGGGACACAGAACATATCCAGAGGGAGCCTTAAAGTTGCATGCCCAGCTCAGAGCGAGTCCTTTCTACATTGCCCAAAAGATGCTGCTGCCTCCTCTGCTAGCACCCAGAACCAGGCAAGTCCTGCCCTTCCCAGCCCTCAGGGTCTGTCTCCAGCCCCCAGAGAGGAGCACAGTCCCAGGAAAGAGCAAGTTCAACACGTGCCACACATAGTGGGGACACAATTGCTACAGAAAATTAAGACCCAAGCAAGGCCAGGTCTAACGGGCTCAGGAAGCTCTGATTTAACAGAAACATCAGGAGAGGAAGAACTGTGCACTTTTTTGAATAAGAGCATCTGCCTAAGGAATGTAAAATCCAGGACAGATGGTATAAAGCCATGGCTACAGTCATAATTGAAAACAGCCAATATAATTAAATCTCCAGATTAAAACTTACAGATTTTATTATTTGTTTGTTCTTCTCCCAGAGAAGAGACTGACTGCTTTGGGGTGTTAACTGCTAAATCCAATAGATTAGTTTCCAAAATCCAATGTAGCTTCTACAGCTCCCTCAGCGTATTCCAGTAACCAAGGGCTAAGCTGCACGCTACATATTTAACACTTGAAGAATTTATGTTCAGATTCTCTGTGAAGAGCACTGGCACACAGTATCCTGCTTATAAGCTTATATTTCCTTGAGGTTTGTGCCAGTTGAGTGAGATAGACGGAATTCAATCAAAATCCCCAGTATCAGCATTTCAGAGAGTCACTAGGCTGCAATAAAATACTTTTAAAATACTTTTCATCTGATGTGGATGCAAAGTTTAAGAGAATTACTTTACAACAAATGAAGTAAAGCCACTAGCTGTCAGCAAGAAACGTGATAAGTAGTTGTCTTATAAATCTAAATACATGGTAAAACCCATAAGGTGAGAAAAGGAGCATGTCAAAGCATCCAGATGAACAAATCAGTTTCATCCTAAATTTCACACATCTGGAGTCACAAGCTCTTTTCATCTTGGATATACCCAAACCTTTACAGCTTCCCAAACAGCTGGAGAAGCAAAGCCTCCTTCCTTCCCGTGGGTCCCAGGAAACACCAGCAGCCCATCCTGTTCTCTGGCTGGCTCCTACCTGCTGAGCTCGCAGCAGCGCGGTCCTCCTGTACATGTAATCCTCCGACTTGATCACGTACACCATCTTATACGAGTTCAGCTTGAATTTACACTCCAGCTTGTC